TCATCTCTACAAAGTTGATCAAATTCAATATTACAAAACTCCAGACCATTGTCTGTTCTTAGAACTTTGATCTTTTTATCCATTTGATTTTCAATTAAAGTTTTCCAATTTTTAAACTTTTCAAAAGTATCTGATTTTTGTTTCAAAAGATAAATCCAAACTTTTCTTGAAAAATCATCAATCAGTGATAGAAAGTATTTGTTGCCACCTTGAGTGGTAGTAGATGATGGGCCCCACAGGTCAGAATGAATATACTCAAGGATAGATGCAGTCCTATGCTGACCACTATTAAAATGAAGCCTATGTTGTTTTCCTAAAGTACAGTGCTCACAAAATGGAACCTTAGAAATCACATCCTTTCCAAAAGCCCCTCTCTTATTCAAAATGTGTAACCCCTTTTCACTCACATGAGCTAGCCTATTATGCCACTTCAGGGTAGCATCAATCTCAGCACTAGAGGACTCAGCAATGTGACTCTGAACTACACTGGCTCTAGTGACATATATACCATTTCTCTTGATCCCTTTGAAAATAACTAAGGAACCCTTAATTATTTGCAAAGAACCATTACCAATCCGGCCTTGCAGGCCTATGTCATCTAGATTACCCATAGAAATCAAGTTTCTATTCAAATTAGGAATATACCTTACTCTTTCTAAGGTAAAGGTATATCAATTACCAAACTTCAAAGTCACACTACCAATTCCTTTAATGCTACATGCTACATTGTTACCCATAACCACCTCTCCACCATCAAGATCCTTAAAGTTCTCTAACCAAGGTCTTCTAGAGGTCATATGGAAAGTGCACCCTGAGTCCATAATCCACTCACTATCCTGACCACTGTCATCCACATAGTCGACAGTATTCACATCAGGAGTGGGTTCTGTCACCACATATACATCAACAGTCCTCTCATCTAGAGGTTCAACTACATTCCCCTCATCCACTCTCTTCTCTCTCTGTTCATTCTTCTTCTTATAACAATCCTTTATAAAATGTCCTGTCTTACCACACCCATAACACTTCCTAATTCTACTCCTAGACTTAGATCTAGGTCCCCATTTCACCTTCTTCTTAGAATTGTTATGATTGCTCCCTTGATAACTCTGACCACTGACTTGCCTAGTCATAGGTCTACCTCTCACAGACAAACTCTCAAAATCCTTCCCGGTTCTATCAACCTTAAGCTCTAACTCTTTACTCCTCAAAGAATTGATCACTATGTCGGGAGTCAAGGTATCTCTACCATACTTAATAACAGACTTAACATCCTTATACACATCAGGTATAGCATTCAACAGGATAACAGCTTTATATTCATCAGACACCTTCTCCCCAGTGTTAGCGATATCTTGAACTAATTTATTAAAAGTATCAAGATTATCATCTAAGTCTTTAGACATATCAATCTTAAAGCTAAAGAACATCTCTAAAAGGAAGAGTTTATTAGGTAGACTCTTAGACATGTATTGCTCTTCTAACATATCCCACAAAGCCTTAGCATTATCAAGTCTACCAACTTTCCTCAACACTTGATCAGACAAATGAAGAATTATAGAAGTATAAGCAAGTTCATCAGATTCAAGTTTTTGATCATCAGTCATAGTAGCAGGAAATTCACCAATTATAACCTTAGAAACTTTCTGTTGAACTAAGACCCCTCTCATTTTTTTGCTGCCAAATGGGAAAATCCCCTTTTCCATTAAAAACTCCAAGTTCAAATGTTGCCATTGTCATTTGAAGTTTTTAATCAACAGAAAGAATTTTTGAGGTCACAGTTCCACAGAAAAACAGTAATCAGATATTTCACACAACCAATTTAAATGTCACAAAAATCATAGTGTAAACAAAACATGAATGAAAATACATCTAACTGAAAAACAGGCTATTAACTCAATGAACAAAAGATAACAGTGATATGGAATAGGTCTATAATCACAGGTAAAAAAAAAAAAATTCACAGAGAATATAACTACTAAAACAACAGACTAATAATCAAAATTCTACTTAATTCAAGGTGTTAGAATTCACCAGGATTCCGTGAGGTTCAAGACCCCAGGTCAAGGCTCAATTCTCAACACCAGAAGGGACACACAACACAGGGGATATTAAGGGAAGTGATAATATTCAGGATGCAATAACGGCACAATCAAGAATCACAAAATGCAGGGTGTTAGAGAAGATTTCACCAAACACGGTTCACCAAGAACCAATCGCAGGCAGCTCCAATAATCAACCCTCAGCTAGCTCGAAGAAGAACTGGAGACTCTGCAGAACACCCAGCTTGCAGCCCAAACTCCAGAATGTTCACCAGGAACAAGGTTCCCTTGCAAGAACACAAACAGAGAGAGAGAATTAGTAGCTAATTCGAAACAATATGAAAAATTAGGGTTTATGCACAAAATCGAGAAAAATAAATGTCGAATCAGAAAACTTAATTTTTCAGTGACACATCTCGATCGAATCGAAGGCTCCTTTCACCCTCACCAATGCTCTGATACCACTTGTAAGGAAATCGACCTCAATTCACGCGGAAGCAGACAACAATATTCACCAAGAAGATCAAGAACAATTTACACAAAGTAAATCTAATATTATTTGGGGCTCAGAATCACAAAGATACATTGTAGCCGTCTGTCCACAAAGAACAAGCCAACAAAAAAACCCAAACCCTAAAAGAATTGCACTAAAGCAGCTACTCAGTGGACTCGATCTCATTTGCCTATCTAAACACAAATCAAACTCAATCGAAGGATCACACAGATGCACACTATCAAGTTCTGTGATTAAAACCAAGTGTTTTAATCAATTTCAAAAAGAATCGATGAAGGCAGAGAAGAGAAGACGAACGAAGAAAAGGGTCAGAACATCCCTCTCACACTAAGGGAGAAAACCGAATGAAATCTCTCTCACAGAATGACCGTCCATCTCCCCTTTTATAGTCCTTCATCACACCATAGATTAGGCAATAGATCAACGGTCCAGAGCAGAACACTTGGCAATTCCTTTTGGATCGGGTTTTGGGCTACTTTCTTGTGAGTTATTGGGCAATGGCTTTAAACAAAACATTTTCCATAATCTTGGGCCAAGCCCATTTCATCATTGCCCCAAGAGTTAGAAAAACCAAATGTCACAAATGGCATCAAATCCCAACAAGAATGATAGTAACACTTGAAATTAGAATCTTGGTTTGCTCTAATACCATATTCAACCAGCTCATGCAAAAGCTTTACTATTTAATTAGCCCTCCTCTTCAATATTTATATATTAGTAGGCACGGTTTAGAGCCAACTAAAAGCAGTGAAAGCTTGCGACTTTACAATCGGGGAAAAAAAAATAGTAGGACTTAAAAATCAAGAATGGTCCTATGGTAAAAGAGTTAATTGTTGTGCCCTTGCATCTAATTACTACTAGTAGTCCTTGTTGCACACACACATTTCAACTAGGATATATAGCGTATTCTTCTTGGACATACGTCGGATATTGACACTCTTAGAACACTCTATCATGTCATTTTCTTCTTTTTTTTTTTATTAGAAGATTCTATATTTCTAACTAAAAAGTATTATTAAAAAACAAATAGGTAGTTATATTTAAAATGATTCAACAAGGGAAATTAATAATAAATATAAAATTAAATTATAATACATATATGTATGTATGAAAAAATTTTAAAAATTTAATCAATGTATCGGCAACATATCATGTCAGTAATAAAAATCATATGTCGACGTGTCTTGTAAATGTCGTGTCAAACATTCGTGTGGTTTCGGTACATCATAGCTGGCAGTTATGTGATGGAAATTAAAGTTTACAAGCAAGAGATGATGGCACCAACTTATATAATCATTACTAATTTGATATTCTAAAGCAACGGAGTTCATTTATTAGTGAGCAAAGAAAAATAGTTAGCATTAGGATGCTTTGTTTGGTGAAACAAAGAACATATTATCTCATCTATGCCGGCCATTTTATGAGTTTCTTCCTTTTTACGTATCGATATGTCTGTACCCAATAATTAATTATTGCCCGTGAATAACAATAAATATGGGGATATTATGTTTGGCTATACTTAAAAGTTACTATTTTAAACATAAGTAAATATATGATTAAAAAGTAAATTTCGTTAATAGAATTAAAGAGTAAGTGTTGTGTTGTTTATTTTGTTTTTTATTATTTTCTAATGAGGGAAGGAAGTGGAACTGCATCAAAGTTATTGCAGCAATTTTCATCTTCAATCTTCAAAAAGGAGCATTTGTCTTTAATCTTTCACTTCTACCTCACCTCCTAACAAAAGGTTTTCATCCATTTTTGCTATTATTTCGAGGGCAAATATTTATCTTATGGATCTTGTTACATGTATATGGGTTACATAATGTCACGTGACAATCAACAATTTACCAGTTTAAAACACAGTCAACGTTTTCATCTAATATTTTTCCGCAACATCATATTTTGTAATCCCTTATATACAATTTTGATTTACAAGTAGTAAAATCCTTATTGAATATTAATTATGTCTCCATTTGGTGTATTTTTCTTTCTAATAAAAATATGTGATTAAAAAGTTCGAAATTGATAAAAATTGTAAATATCATGAACTGTGTGATTAAAAAAACAAAGAAAGACATCTTACAACCCAACCCAATTCACCAGGCCTCTGCCCAACCCTGGCTGCTCACGTAGCCCTCGTTCTCCATCCAAACCCCGGGTTCCACGCCCTTAGCCTGTGGGCGTTAAATGGGCTCAGCCCGCATCCATGGCTCACCTTATTTAACACACCTACCTTACCACCCCTTCGATAGTAATAAGGAATTAAATTTCAGATTCAATATTGTTACTATATATATGGTGACGCAATGTCATTGATAGATTAAAATCATTCTCATCTGGAAATTAAGAGCTTTATGGCCTATTTTTAATGAGTAATGTTATATAGCTCCCATCGAGGTTACAACCCCAATCTGGATGACAAACGCAGTTGTAGTTGTGTGGGAATGTTAGATAATGATTCTAATGGATGTTCTGTAAATGGCAAACTAAACATGCTTGGGAGTTATTTATATTTTAAGTAAATTTGCTAGTATAAAAGTGATGAGGAATTCATTCATTTTCAACGAAATAAGGCCCATTTTGGCTCCACTTGAAGGAGATGTTTCACGGATAAATCTACATGTACATAATTATTGTAAATAATGAATTACATAAACTCATGTGGAAGAAATTCGGTCGTGGATGTGAAGTGTGGAAACGTCAAAAATTGTAGACTATCGATGGATAAACGCCACATGTCAATTATGTAATGTATTATGTAAATAATTATGTACTTATAGCATGGTCCAAGTGATATGATATTTATAGAGTTCAAAACTTCAAAAATTCTAGATAACCGAATAAGCAATCCGGACGTCCGCATTCTGAACTGGACAACCAAGGTAGCTGTTGTACGTCGAAATCAAAACGGTTAAAAAAAGTGACAGTTGGACGAACCGCATGGCCAAATCAGACATCCGATTCGACAGAGAATTCCGAATGTTTCTTTCTCGATTGTTTAGAAAAATGTAGGCTTTTTAAGTGTGTTTGTCACCTTATTCAAGGTAAGTGATATTGTAATGAGTTTGAATATCAAATTTAGTATGTTTGACGGATATTATTGAGAAAATAATGTATTTCAAATAGTGATATGATGAAAAATATGTAGTTAAAAAGTAATAAAAAGTTATTAATGTGATGAAAAATATTATTTTATTGAAAAATGTGTAGTTCAAAATGAGTTTTAAAAGAATGTATTTTGAAAGAATATGTATCAAACATAGATTTAAATACTTACCTTTTGAAAGATAATTTTTATACAAGTTTTTTATGAAATAATTTTCTCGTGCATAAAAATTTATTCATTGAGTTTTTAATAATTCATTGCTAAAATTTGAAGTATTGTCCATTTACACATAGAATGCAAAATATCTTAATCTTATATCTCTGATATTTGATTATTAAAGTTCTTTGTCTCGAATAAATTGTCATGCATGACTGGCTTCCATCTCGATTTTTATTAATCGTCCGATGCGAGTCTTTTGATAGTGACATTTTTGTCCCTAATCAACAAACTTTGCAACAATAGCTACGAAGGCTTAAATTTAATTATTAGAAATCAAATTAACTTCTTTGTTATTATCAAAACTTTAAGGATGAAGTCAATCATATGTCAACATAATGCTCGAGCATATTTCTAAAACTATTCAAATTTAGCCATGTTTTAATTATTTGTGAATAAATTTTGTAAAAAAAGTATTTTCTTAAAAAATTTATGATTGAAAAATAAGAAAAAAATTGAATTTATTTGTAAAATTATTTTATTGAAAGGATGTATAATTAAAAAAAATTAAATAATAGACCAACTAGGCTCAAGAAATTATCAAACTGGAGAAAAACCGTTCATATGGATATTACCCAATAACCCAATATAGCCCATTTCTATTACCGATATTCTTTCTCTATGTTCTCCTGCTGACGCTGTAACAAAATTGCGCGCTCTCTCTCTCTCTCTCTCTCTCTCGCACACATATTCACACACTCACACTCAACAAGTACTTTCGCTTTTCTTGCCCTCAGAATTTGGAACTACTGAAGCTATTTTTCAACCACTTATCATTTACGGTACTGAATGTCTTAGACTTTCTTCAGCGATAATACTCTTCATATTTCTCAAGGTATCTTGCTTCTTTTTCTTATTTTCTTGAATTTATTGATATTGTTATTATTTGCTTAATGATATTGTTATGAATGCTGAAGTTCATTTACATGGTAGATGGAATTAGAAGTGTAATTATGGACAATATGACTTGTATAATGATTTGTTTGCATATATTAACTATTTATGGAACTGGTCGTTGGGTATATATTGTGAGAATGCGATTTTGACTGCAATTTTGTTATATATAGTTCTGGAATTACTATTTTAGTGAGGAAAAAATAATGCCTAGAATTCATAGGGTTTTTATTATTATTGTTGTTGTTGTTGTTGGATTCATTATTTACAAGTTAGGGTTGCCATTTATGTGGAAAATATTCCATTTTCGTTGATTACTTTTAGGTTATGTATTATGTTTTTTGCAGTAAAAATTAGGCGGAAAATATGGCATTTTTGTGTAGCTAAGAATTAAGATGATGCAGGACTGAACAGAGGCTTGTGATTGAAATGAACTTTGCAGAATTCAAAGGGTTTGTAATATCTCTACCTTGGTCAAGATAATTCCAACATTTTAATAGCATTTTTGAACATTAGCATGGTTCATCAACGGATAATGGAAATGTTCACATTCATACGCATGGCAAGGTGTCTGGGAAATAATGACACAAAATACGTCTATAAACTAGATGGGCTGTGAACTTTCTTTGGAATGAAAACGAACATTGACTTTTCTTGGCCTTTTGATTTCATAAGAAAAGGGGGTCTTCTGGCTGCTTATTTCGTTAGATATTTTCTACCATTGAAGTTGTATTTTTCGGCAAGGTTTTATATTTTGTGTTTGTAAAATGCAACTGATGATAGCATTGTTCAACATTAGCAAGGTACATGAACGAATATTTGAAAAGTTCACATTCAGGCAAAACGACAAGGTGTGCAGGCAATAATGACACCTAATTCTTCTATAAAATAGATTAAGTGCGAACTTTCTTTTGATAGGAAATAAAAATTGACTTTTCTTTGCCTTTTGATTTCAAGAAAAGGTGATCTTTAGGTGGCTTGTTTCATTAGATATTTTTTCCCCCTTTAAGTTGTATTTTTGGGCAAGGTCATATGTTTTGTGTTTGGGAAAGGCAATTTGTTGATTTGTGAGTTCTAGAGTATGGACATTACGAAACAGAAAAATATGGCTCCGGTTTTATTTCCTTCCTAACCGATTAGCCCCACTCCCCCTTATGTTCGTAGGCTGGAGACATAAGATTTGAAAGGGAAGGACTGATTATACATGATATATTATTACACACTGCGTGCCATTATATATTATAGAGTGTAATGGTGAAAACAAGTTTTACTTCCTATAGCTAGACTTTTGTGAAGTTTATTAATGTTTTCTGAAAGTTGCCTGTCAGACAGTCTTGATACTTTTGCTGCATGCAAGTGAGATATATGAAAAAGGTTATGGGTATGGACGGACTTGAAAGGTGTTATCCTGTTCCCATAAACATCGTTGAATTATTAACTATTATTAGACTTGTGCTGCAACCTCAGATTTGTTGGTTCATATTTGAGAGCAGACACATTGCTTGAAAATGCTAAAGATTATATCAATATCTAGTCAATTTGCTAGGGAAATTTAGGGGTTTCCTAAAGGATTATCAGTTTTCTTCAACTCAATTTAGCCCTTGTTTGAGCCCCATTTTGGGGGAAAAATGTGTGTTTTTTTTTTGAGAATGCGTGGTTAAAAAATAAGAAAAGAATTTCGATTTACGTGTAAAATATTTTATTGGAGAATGTGTGATTGAATGAGTTTTGAAAAAATGAGTTTTTGAAAAGATGGGGGCTCAAACAATGGCTTAAATAGTATTTAACGTATAGATGTGATTTTAGTGAAATAAAATTTCTAAACTCAGTTTTTAATTTTATACCATGACTCCACGATGTCTTGTTTCAGACTGATGTCTGATTGCTCAAGTCCTCTGATCAACTTTTTGTTGCATTTAATAATGTTCTACAGTTTCCTAGCAGGTTCTCTAGTATCACTTGAAAGGGAGAAGGCCACAATTGGACACACTGGCAGAGTCATTATGTACAGGCACTCACCTATTAGGAACCCGAGATCTAAGGGAATCAAAGTTAAGCATGTTCTGCAAATTTGTTTGTTGCTTGCTGTTTTTATTTGGTTATTATATCAAGTCAAGCGTTCCCATGACAAGAAGAAAGAATTTGATCAAAGCGAAGAAACCTCACTTAGCGGAGGAGCTAGCAATGAAATGTTAAAACTTGGAAGGAAAGATATCCACGAGAAAGAGGAGGAAACAGTTGTAAAGAATGAAAAGCATGAAGCAGAGGAAACCACCGGTGAAGAAGAAGAAGATGAAGAAGAAATAGAAGAGGAACGAGAAGACAAGAAAACTGAAGAAAACGAGGATGAAGGGATTGGAGGTGGAGATGACCAGATAGATGAGAGTGAAGAAGAGAAATCTGAAGCTGACATCGATCAAGGAGATGATTTTATAGATGATGAGAAGGAGAGAGATGAGGGTGATGAGAATGAAAGTGAAGATGGAGATTCTGAAGACAATAATGGTCAAGTGGAGAAGGGAAATCCTTTAGAGGAGAGTGATGATGACAGAGATTATAGGAGTACACACGAGGCACGCGAGGAAAATTACAAGGCTGATGATGCTTCTAGTGCAGTAACACATGACAGCGAAATACTTACTGATGAAAATGAGAATGGAAGCTTGGGGAACTTAAATGTGCGCACTGAAAAAAATATTTTAGAAGTAGAAAAAGAGGAGAATAATACTGAACAGATCAATTTGGGAGAAGACAAAACAGAGGTAGAAGCAGAAAGTAATGAAATCGCTAAAAGAGAGAAGCAGTCAAATGTAATTACCAATAAGACAAAGGAGAATGTAATGGACAATTCTGAGAGTGGATTATTTTCAAATACTACAGTGACGGAAGGATCCATTGACCATATTGAAACAATCAACAACTCCACACAGGTAAGTACAGATGGTCATGATCTGTCCTTGCTGAATGGAAGAGAAATCGTGGTAGGGTTGAATCGGGGTTTGGTTGATGATGGGAATCATAGTCATTATTCAAAAACTGGAACCGAGAATGCAAAGTCAAATCTAAATGAATTTCCTAATTCATCTAGTAAGACAGAATCTGCATCAGAAAATATCCTGAAATCAGAGGCATCTGTGGAAGCAGGGAATACTACTGGGTCTTTAACAGTAAAGAATGATGCAACTGAGGCTAAGAAATCCAAAATCAGTGAAGAATCAGGTGGAACAGATGATGTTTTAGATTCGAGAAGCAAAAATTACAAGAATGTCCAGCACGATCCCATAGATTCATCTGATTTGTACATTCCCATAGAGGAGAAAGTTATACGCATTCATCTTGATACTATCCCTGATATACAAACTGAAGGAACCAAAAGTGAAGGGGCTACAGCAGAATGAAGATACAGATTAGTATTACACGGATAGTTTTGTCAATGCTCACAAGTCCAATTCATGCTTGTGTGTTGAAGTTTTCATGTTATCTTTGCTTTAGCCCGCAAGTTGGGCTCTAGAATATGCATATTGATCGCGTATGAAATGTGCTAGAAAATATAATTTCACCGTTGTAGGCAAAACATAGACATTGATGTTATCGAAGTTAAAATCCGTATAATCAATATCTAGTTCATTCCTGCTTTATTTTCGCCTTCAAAGTTTGCAAACGTCGATGTGGTACAAGTCATTGAGAAACTAGAACTGGGTAGACTGATTCGAACACTGAGATGGTGGATTAATTTTAAATGCCTGGTCTGGATATCTGTGGAGGAGTGGATAAATGTCAATGCATGGTCCAAGATATCAGTGGACTCCATTGTGAGACTGACTTTGGTTTTGTTTGACAGCAGATGATAGAGAATGAGCTCCTATTTAGAGTATGATTGTGGTGGCTTATGCTAAAAATAAATAAGCTCCAAATGCATGACTTATTTATTTGGAGCTTATTTTGACTTATTTTAAATGTAGATAAGTCCACATTTAAAATAAGTTCATTTGGTGCTTATTTTTAAGCATAAATCACCCCGAAGAATTCAAACGTCAAACTTACCTGAGGGTTGCTATTTTCAATGGATGTAAGCATTCGTTTATTTTGTCAACCATTATGTCACATTTTTCGAGCAAAGTAGCATTATTTTAGTCATCAAGATGTGATAGTTTGAGTGGTGCTGTTTTTATGAGATGGTAAATACTACGTGGATTTATTTGATAATTGTGACAAATAACTGAGATAGACATAATTCAGAAAGAAAGGAAAAAAATTGCTAAAATCTAGTGTAATATAACCGACCCAAAACTTTAGGGTATTTAATAAATGGATCCGTCGGGTCCAAATATAATTATGGAACTGTTCGAGTTCTGTTCGGTTCCGTTCCATACCATAATTAAATTTTTTTAACATTTACAGCAACACTACAAAAATACAACTAATAACATTTCATTTGTAACTTTTATAAATTAAAGTAGCTCAATTTAAAAACATATAAATAACTAGCTATCCAATAAAATTAATTCAATGCATACAAATACCAAAAAGTAGATGTCAATATTAAAATATCAATGATCCATATCAATAACTGCAAATGGATCCCAAACTCCACTGTTTCTTGTCTTTAAAATGAGTTTTAAAATGATTTAGGTATTGGGCTTTAAAATTAAAATTATGAAATGATCTGATTTATTTAATTAATTTGTTAATTTGTTTAGAAAAAAATAATTCAATTTAATTAATTCAATATAAAAAAATAAAAAAAATTATTTAGTTTCGGGTCTTATTTGGTTCTTCGGTTCTTAGTCTAGAACCAAGACCTGACCCAAACTCATCGGTTCTCGATTTGGATACCCGTTCGGGTATTTAACTTATGAAGAACCACTCGATTCGGTTCGGGTTCGGTTCGGTCCGGTTCGAATCGAGACTTTTGGACACCCCTAATTTTACGTATTAAACATGCTCTTAATGTTGCGGGAAAATGTGAGCAGTATTTTTATCGTTCTTTTTAGAGTTCAAGATAGGAAGGGTGCAACTTAAAAAATTAAGTTTGTTACTAATATTTGACATGGTCAAAAGGAGATCGAAATCATGATGAGAATGAAGGTGAGGAAAATGGGGGTGGGATTGATGCAATCATCTACACAACCATTCCTAGCTCAGAGTAGGACCGTAAGCAAAAATCGTCAAAATGAAAAATCGAATCGAAACCGACCACGTGGACTTGTCAACGAAATGGTTTTGAACCAAACCAAACCGATCAAAAACTGTTTGGTTTAGGTTCCAGAATTTTAATTACGGTTTAAAACCAAACGGACTGGCGAAAAAATATAAAAAATAAAAAATTGAATTTAATTATTTAGTTTCGGATCTTATTCGGTTCTTCGATTCTTAGTTTAGAACCAAAACCTGACCCAAACCCATCGGTTCTCGATTTGGATACCCGTTCGGGTATTTAACTTATGAAGAACCACTCGATTCGGTTTGGGTTCGGTTCGATCCGTTTCGATTCGAGACTTTTGGACACCCCTAATTTTACGTATTAAACATGCTCTTAATGTTGCGGGAAAACGTGAGCAGTATTTTTATCGTTCTTTTTAGAGTTCAAGATAGGATGCGTGCAACTTAAAAAATTAAGTTTGTTACTAATATTTGACATGGTCTAAAGGAGATCGAAATCATGATGAGAATGAAGTTGAGGAAAATGGGGAGGGATTGATGCAATCATCTACACAACCATTCCTAGCTCAGAGTAGGGCTGTAAGCAAAAATCGTCAAATCAAAAAATCGAATCGAAACCGCAATTTCGAAACCGACCACGTGGACCCGTCAACGAAATAGTTTTGAACCAAACCAAACAGATCAAAAACGGTTTGATTTAGGTTTGAGAATTTTAATTACGGTTTAAAACCAAACGGACTGGCGAAAAAATATA